TATATATATATAATATTAATACTGCATCTAAATTCTTTGAAAATATTATATGAAAAATGAAAAATAGAATGCTATACAAGTGTATTAAATGTAACTTTCTAATCAAAAGAAATCATATCAACAATTTAAACAGATTAAATAATATAGTTAACAAAACTTTAGTGATTGTGAAAGAATATTTTTATTATAGTTATTATTTTGAATAAGTTATTAATTTGAAGTTGAGTTATTAATTTGAAGCCATATTTAATTTTGAGTAATCTATAGTAATAAAAAATTCTCATAAATTATCATTGAAAAATGTCGGAATTAAAATGCAGTTTTCCCTTTTTCTCATAAGATCCTTTTCAAAGTTATATTATTTGCAATTATAAATATTTATGAAAGGCTCTTTTAATTCCAACTTCCTTTACAAACTTTTTTTTAAATTACACAGAAACATAAAGCACGTACAAAAACAAACTTCTTCATGTATATTTCGTTTGAGGTATTTTTACATTAATTTTCATTCCAACTCTTTTAAATTTGTGTATTCCTTTTAACTTTTACAAACTAGTTCTAAGCATACTACTTTCGAGCTTTGCATTTGCTAAGAAAATTGGAATTTTTAATAAAGTTCTCTATCCGTAAATTTAATGTCTCCTTTTTGTTTTCGATTTTAAAATGTCTAACATGATTTTGAGAAAAATGGGTACATACATGTAAAATCTTTCTTTGATAATGGAGTAATGAATGTTTAGGCTTAGAAAAAAAAAGACATGCATTTTTATCCCTGTTTCTAATGATTGTTTTAAAGATCTATGTTTTAAAATAAAGACTTTTTTACAAATTCGATTTCTCAGAAACTTTTCAGTCGATTTCACTCAAATTTTGTTTTTTGCCATTTAAAATTTTTTTAAATAATGTAAAAAAACTGTGTACTTTTCAATTCGAAAGTTTGTCAACTATTATTAAATAAGAAAAATAAGAAAATGAAAATATTTACTGAATTATATAACTTTTATAACTACGTGCAAAAAACGTGCGAAAACTTCAATATTTTTCAAGGTTCTGACAAACATATTTATAGCACTATTGCAGTGTTTCCCAAAGTGTGGTACGCGTACCCCCAGGCGTACGGGAACAGTTTAGTAGGGGTACGCGCTCTTATACGAAATATCTTGCAAGAAAATAAAATTTCAAAATTTTTTATTTAAAAACAAAGCTAGCCATGAACATTTACCATTACGTATTTTTCTATTGGCTATTTTTTGCGCTGAGTTAACATTTAATAATTAGTGGTGTCAACAGCCAGTTGTGATTTTTAACTTTTGTGTAATTTTTTTATAGTAAAAAAATACATTCATTTTTTTATTAGTGATACACAGAATTACGAAAATTTTAGAAAGGGTACACTAAAGTCATATGTTTGGAAAACACTGATCTATAGGTTTAAAATGTATTTCTTATTGGAGTTATACTTTATCAACAATTGTAAAACTTTGAGAAAATGTTCCTTTAACTAATTCCAAGTCTATAACTCATATTTCCTTGGTTTATAAATTCGGATTCAAAAATTACTACATTAAACACTTAACACTTTTGTGCCCTTATTGATTATCCAGTGTTAGTAGAATCAGATAAACGTGGCATAAATGACTTGGTATTAAATTTTTAACAAATTACTTTTTTAGTTTCTTTCCTATAAACAAAAAAAAGCAAAGGAAATAAATTTATTATCGATTGAACGTGAAATTTACTGCCTTAGGTATTAATAATTTTAAAGATATACGCTTATAAAAAACTATAATCGTTTCAAAAGACCTTTTTGAGCTGTAAACGTTAAAAATTTGCATAATTGCTTAGTATATTTATCAGGGCTAGAATTTCTTCACCGTTTTTTACTATGAGAAGTTTAGGTAATTTGAACAATTTAGAAATATCTCAGCGAGCACTGATAAATGAGATCCTTAAATTATTTCAGAATTATTTTTTTTCTCCATAATGCAGAATTTTTTTGTACTGTGGAGCTACGCAAAATGTATACAAAAGATAATTGCAAAGTAAATTAAAAAAATGAATGGCAATTAAAAAAAATGAAACAATTAAAAAATCGAGGTGTCTTTTTTTTTGTTGACACAACTAAAAATATTACACTTCAGTATAAAAAAAGTTTGTCTTCGTATTTTAATACAAATATTCATGCTTAATCATTTTTTT